CTTCTCATCATCTCATCCTGAATGTGAGGCTGATTGTTATCTTTCTCCTTGTACCAACACTGTTGTGATTTTTGCGAAAAGTACCAGCCATACACAGTTTTACTGGTTCGTGAAAGTTCCCAGCACTCTCCATAATGAAGATATAACAAAGTGTTACTCTGGCTCTACTGGTCACTACAAGGATAACTGGAAGCTGAGATCAGGTTAGGAGCATATATTCTTTAATTGGCTGAACATTATAGGCTAAACAAAGGAGTCTTCTGCCAGTCAGTCTATGAATTTTCATTATATCAATGTCTGGTTTGTTTCCTCCCTTCCAGCAACTGAGTTCATAACCCTTCATTTCCAAAAATAGTAATATTGAATGTGAGGGCAATCTGGCCAGTACATCTGTCACCCCTTTGATTGCTAGAGTTGATCTGGCGTGTCCCCTTCCTTTGTCACCACTCTATGTGTCTTCCTCCTGAAACTTCAAGCTCAAGCTCATTTATAGAGGACAGCCTTCCCCCACAGAGGAGAATCATTTCCTGGATCAAGGATATACAAGTAACTTAGATCCCCTGCTAGAATCTCCAGACAAGTCCTCAAAAACAATGATACTAACCAAACTTTCCTTTGAAAGAATGCATTTATCATTAGATCATCCTGAAAAGACTCGACATGATAAAAGAATAGGACAGCCAAGCTGGTGATGTTTCTACATCCTTAGGGTGAAGTTTGGTCCGGCAGCCCCAGGACTCTTCTGCAATGTGAGCACAGCACCACCCACATTTGTTCTTTTCCTCAAATCAGCAGAAACCTAGTGCAGCTCCTGGGTCAGATGAGCTCACCAAGTATTGGGGAGGCTCAGATTACCGAATTTAGTTTCCTTACATGGGATTTTTCAAGCAGTTTTTGACTGCAACAAAAGAAAATGACAGTGCATTGTATGCTGTGGCTTTGACAATTGGGGCAGAAATAGAAGGGAGAAGCAAAATAGCTTGATTGTAACAAAATATCTCAGGCCTCCCAAATGCTGAGACAAGGCTCAGGGGGCAGCAGAGTTTCAGAATGAACCTGTCTCGGAGAGCTGGATCTTTCTTCCTTCAGAACAGAATACTAATATCTCCCTCTCAACTGCTCACCAGATTAAAATTTATAGTTCCAAATATAATTGTGCCAAGAAACAACACAGTCAAATTAAGTCAAATCCAGACATCTGTATGAAGTGTGAGAACACTGGAATACTGTAACTCTTTTTCAAGGTCAGAACATTTGTTTACTCATCACAGGACCATGAGCCTTAGTCCCAGTCCAGTTTAGTGATGTTAAATTGCCTATATTTTAACAAAAATGCTTTTAAGGAAGACTGCTAGAACATCTGAGAAATGTGTTCACTTCGGCACATATACTAAAATTAGAATATCTAAGAAGGTACCACAGCAGTTTTTATGTAATTTCATTATGGCTCTTATTTTATTTGGTTATTTGTGATTATTCAAATGATAATTCATGCTTGCAAGACCTTCCCATGTTCTCACTTTGGGCACAATATTCTGAGTTAGAAGTGAGTACTTAACATCCTGAAAAGACAGATGCGTTAATACCATGACATTTCGAGGCACAGACCTAGGGATTTTAGTGGCTTCAGCCTTTTGGGTTACTGGCTGCCACTGCCTCCCTCATTTCCCAGCTTCCTCCAAGAGCCATCCATTCTCATAGAGTAATGTCATCAAGGCTCATCCAGGTTGTCACATATTGCAGAATTTTCTCCTCTTTAGGGCTCATATTATTACAGAAGAGAAGCAACAAAATAGGAATGGAGGTGGAGAGAAAAACAAATAGTGATCCACTGTGTGTGTAGACAAAAACACTGCATGATTCCACCTATATCAGATATATAAAATCATCACATCATAAATACAAAGAGTGGACTGGTGGTCACCAGGAGCAGGGAATGCAGGAAAAGGCATAGAGACTTCAGTTATACAGGAGGAATGGTTTCTAGAGATCTGCTACACAACACCATACCTGCAGTTAATAATACTGCATTGTATGTACACTTAGTCATTAAAAGGGGAGCTTTCACATTACATACTCTCACCACAATAAAAGAAAATTAAAATTAAGTCCTCTGTTATTAGGGCTTTCAAATCTTCTCATCTATTCCTCTCTTTTCCCACCTAGGATTCCTCACAAAAAATTCTCCAGTTACCTTCCAATTGTCACATTAAAAGAAGAATTTTGTATTCTCATCTTAGTGGGCCTTACTATGAAATCTGGCTATGACAGTCCTCTGATCTTTTGGAAATCCTTCCTTCCTTGTTCTTTCACTCCTCTGGCTGCCTTCTTTCTGGCACTCTGCTGTGATCCTCTCCCTCTTATCTTGTTTTGAAATGCTGATGCAGTGTAACATATTTTATCCATTTTGCTGCCACTTCCAATATTTTCCAGGTTACCTTGATAGTGGCTAAAACAGAGTTTTCAGCTTTATGCTCTGAGATCTGGATGCCTACAGGCAATTGTATGTTTTATATACCAAGCTCATTGTCTTTTTCAACATTCCCTAAAGTTCTGACCTTCCCTCCACCCCGTTTCCTGCCTTGATGTAACACACAGCATCCTCTGAGTCAGATAGATCAGTAGCCTCCCACCACCTTCTGCCCCTTCTCTCCAACCCCAATCCCACCAGTCTCACTTATACTTCCAAAATCCCTTTCTGTTTTTTCTTGCTGTTTTTTTCCAGTACTGTTTTATTATTTCTCTTCTCCATTAAAAGGGAGCATCTCTATTAGTGATACACGCCTGTAATCCCAGCCACTCAGAAAGTGGAGGCAGGAGTATTGCAAGTTGAAGTTCAGTTTGGGCAACTTAGTGAGATACTCTCCCCCGCCCCCCGCAAAAAAAAAGTTGAGGTTGTGGATGTAGTTATGTGTGAAGGCCCTGGATTCAGTACTGGGTAAAAAGTGGAGAAGAGGGTAGCATCACATCTGGATTACCTGACTTCATCAAATTTGGCCACGCGAATCCTCTGCTTTAAATAATTTAGTGGCTACACATTATTTTCAGGATAAAGTTCAAACTTTTTAAGTGGGAAGGAAATAAGTATTTTTAAAAAGAGCATTAATTGAGCAGTGGCACCTCACCTGCCTAGCAAGTGCAAGGTTCTGAGTTTGATCCCCAGTACTGGGAAAGAGGTGGTGGGGGGGTAGAATTAAGCAATGCAAAACTAATTTCCACTCTGGACAAGGTATTTTGCAATATCATTCTTATTTTCTGTCTATTGCTGACTCCTGCTGCAACCCTCTCAACGTATCTGCTCAATCCTGTTCAAACCTAGGTGCTCAAGCTTCTGCATTCACTTTGCACTTGAGTTTTTCCTTCTGTCTTTCTACTTTATCCCTGGCTCTCTTTGTGTAGAAGCCTGTTGCAGTTTAGATCTAGAGCATTCCTCAAAAGTTTCCTGTGTTCAGCAGTGAGGCTTTTGGAAGATGACTGGATCACAAGGATGCTATACCCATCCGTGGATTAATTCATCATTGAGTTCATAGCTGATGTGTTATTTGGAATTGGACCTGGTTGGAAGAGATGAGTCACATGGGTGTGGCTTTGGAGGGTATATATCCCTCCCTGGCTCATCTTTTCTGTTTCTCTTTCCTGACTTCCATGAAGTGAGCAGCTCTCTTCCACCATGCCCTCCTGCCACGATGGTCCTGCCTTGGAGTCAGCTAACCATAGACTGAATCCCCACAAAGTATGGGCTGAATTGAACCTCTGCTCCTTTAAGTTGGGTTGTCCTATAAACAGAGCTTACCAATACAGAACCTTTACCTCTCATACAGACTTATTCATTCATAGAATGCAGTTCAGGCTTTGAGACGCTTCACCACCTCTGGGAAAATTGCCTTACCGACTTTCTTTCCCTCTCCGACTCTTCTCCCTGTTCATAACACTTACTAAACTGCACTTCCAATCTTCATTTTTCTTCTCCATCATTCTACTGTGTTTCTTGTAGTGTTTGACACTTCATGGAAGCTCTATGGGTATTTGATTGGATGAGTGAATGAGTGGCCCAGTGAGTATTCTGCCAAATAACAAAGGAGAGCAATGCACAAATTGGTTCCAGGACCCCTGTAGATACAAAAATCTATATATGCTCAAGTATCTTACATAAAATGAAATAATATTTATATAAACTCTAAGCACACACAGCCTATGGATGCATATATACTTCAAATCATCTTGAGATTACTTCTAATATCTAATATAACATAAATGCTGTGGAAACTGTTGCTTAGGAAATAATGCCAAGAAAAAGGGCCTGTACATGTTTAGTACAGACATAATTATTTTTCAAATATTTTCAATTCATGTTGAGGGAACTTGCGCTTGTGTGGCAGGTGGCAGCACCACTGAGCTAAATCCCTAGCCCTCGTGTTTATTGTTGATTCCATAGATGTGGAACCCATGGATATGAAAGACCAACTGTATGGAGAGCTTTTTTCACTGTGTGGCCACCCTTTTATCCACCTCTATTCAAACTCCTGGTTTGGGGGCCAATTCGATGGGTCATTGAAAGAATCACTTAAACTTTCTAAACTACATTTCTTTCTGCTTAGAAATAGAAGATCATTTGTAGAAACAATGAATGTCCAGTTATCCCTACTAGCCTGTGGTCTCCGTGACTACCAGTTCATTTAGTAGTATATCTTAGAGTCAACTCATTGCTTCGGTGTAGGCTGGCCCCCATCTGGGTTTCCAAATTACTCCTACATTACAGAAGTTTTAATGTCAAAGTTTCTTCCAAGGAAAGAAGTATACATATCAATACAAAAACATGGACTTGACATTTCCTCTAATTTTTAAAAATTAAATATTTTTATTGTTGAACTAAATTTATTTTTCAGACACAACATTCAGCATCTCTGAGGACAGTACCAGTTCTGGAGCAGTGGGCAGAGGCAAGCATGATAATGACCAGGTCCAGGTGCCTTCCTAACCATGCTTTTCCACTCTTTCAGATGGAAGTCCTTATACTTGGTGGGTTGGCAAGGCCAACGAGAAGCACTACTACTGGGGGGGCTCCGAGCCGGGAATTCAGAAGTGTGCCTGTGGCATTGAGCGCAACTGCACAGACACCAAATACTACTGCAACTGTGACGCAGACTACAAGCAGTGGTGAGTGCCCATGGCCAGCGCGCCTGCAAGTCACACTAATTACCCCGATTGGAAAGTTGCAAAAGTGCTGAAAGAATAAGATAATAGGTTAGCAAGGTTTGGAACTAATCCAGCTGACAAATGCCAGGGACTACTGAAAAATAAAAGCAGTAAGAGGTCAGTACGACAAGGATATACATTTTGAAACAGACTTGACATATAATTGATGTGCTCATATTTTATTCAGAGAGGAAAATAACGAACCATGTTGCCAACAGTGATTTGCATTATAAAATGTGCCCTGCAACAATGGAAAGAGGGGTGGCTGGAGCAGGAAGCCCATGTGCAGGTACTCAAACAGCCTGGGAAACCACCCCCTCCCACACCAAGGTCACCTCTCCATATGTCTACTTTGAGTATCTCGACCAGCAAAGAGAAAAAATAAATTTTAGAAAAAAGAAAGGGAAAAAATAAAGAAAAGGAGAAGAGGTTCTTTGCTCTTGTCTCTAGCAGGTGCTTGCCTGGCTTCTTTTCTTTCCTACTTAAATTGTTTATAACCCTGATACCAAGCAGTTCTAGGAAGATCTATTTTAGGTTGCTTTCATCCCTCTGCTGGCTTTTGCTCTGCTCACAGTGAATGACTAAGTCTGTGACACTTATGGATAAAGATAAAATCAGCTGTCATTCTCTGAGAGACAGAAAGAAAGAAAGAAAGAAAGAAAGAGAGAGAGAGAGAGAGAGAGAGAGAGAGAGAGAGGGAGAGCGC